TACACACGCACATGTGCGTGTGTGTGTGTGTGTGCGTGTGTATACACATAAATACCTATATCTGTATACATCTTATATGTATATATATATATATAGGTACAAAACATGCGCAGGTGTACAGACCTGTAACGCATTCTCACGCATTATCAGTATGCATATCCATGTATCTGTGTGCAGACAGCCAGCCAGCCAGCCAGACAGACAGACACACAGACACAATGTAGGGGCCTAAATAACTACTAATGCTGTTTTGGGGCTTCCTTATTATGATTATAATATTATGAGCCCCAAAGCCCTATTCTAATTATCAAGGCCCCTATATCACACGCACGCGCACACACACACACACACACACACCACACACAATGACACGAAACAGAGCGGAGGGCTCCTCTTGAAGCAAAACGATCGGATCCTTCTCCGACTCCATCGACTCCTTAGCCAGGCTAGGGTTTAGGGTTTAGGGTTTAGGGTCTAGGGTCTAGGGTCTAGGGTTTAGGGTTTAGGGTTTAGGGTTTAGGGTTTAGGGTTTAGGGTAGAGCCTTGCTAAAGAGGTCGCCTCTCCTCTTCAGGGCTTGCGGGTTTGTGACCCGGGCCTTTAAGTTTTGGGCCTGCGGAGTTTAGGTCTAATGTAGGGGCCTTATTAAGTAGAACAGGGTTTAGGGTTTAGGGTAGGGGCCTTATTAATTAGAATAGGATGGGTAATTATTTAAGCTTCTATTTTTTTGGGGGTCCGTGATGTGGGGGACTCCTGCGATGAGACCCATGAATGATCTCAGCGTCACGGAACATCTGAGTTTCCTTTTGGGGGGCTGCTTTGCTTTGGGCTTGCCTCGAAGGCGCCTCTTGGGGGATAGTTCCGGAATCCAGGGTCCAGCCTAAACCCTAAACCCTAAACCGTGGCTCTATGCCACCTCATGGGTTCGGGGCTGAAGACACGGAATGTCTAATATAGGGGTCTCCTGATTTCTGAAACTCCGATTTCAATTTCAACAGAATTCCTCAATAAGCCAGGGATATAGAAGGCTACTATAACATCTAAGAACCCAAGAAGTTTAAAGGTTGGGTATTAGGGAACTAAGTCAACTGAAGAGCCCCGAAGGGGACCCAGATCAGGAACACACACACACACACGCACACGCACACTACCTGGAACGCTCTGCAGCTTCCATTCCGCAGGCTTTCAGTACTTGTCCCCGGTGCGGTGAATGTCTGCTGAGATGGTGCCCTGTTTACCGAACAACGAGGTTCGAGCTCTGAAAAGGCAGAGACGCATACTCAATCTGCCGAAATGCTAAACCGTAAAACCCTCTGAACCCCGAACCACTAAACCAGAGCCCCGAAACCCTAAACCCTAAATGCCAAATCATAAACCGCAAACCACCGAATCCTAAATCCAATGCCACTGAACTCGGCCACTGAACCATATAAACCCTAAACCCTAAACCCCTAAACCCTAAACCCCTAAACCCTAAACCCAAAACCCCCAAACCCTAAACCCCCCCCTAAACCCTAAACCCTCATAGACAGAACTCGTCGTCCGATTCGGCATCCATGGCGTCCTCCACACGAAGACAGGGGCAGAGAGTCCCGGCACTACTGTGGGTCACAGCAGCCTAGAAGAAGACGAGGTGCCTGAATGAATGGGGTTTAGGTTGTAGGGTTTAGTTTTTTTTTTTTAAGTTGGGATGGGTTTAGGGTTTAGTTAAGTTGGGATGGGGTTTAGGGTTTGGGGTTTAGGGTTTAGGGTCTAGTCTAGGGTGTAGGGGAAGAAGAGGAGCCTTAATGATCAGGGTCTTGGCTGGGGTAATTTGTGAGTTCAGGATGACTACCGTCTTTTATATGCAGTACGAACTAATTACTCAGGCCATACATGAGGGGCTAAGGCTTAGGGCAAAGACTGCTTCTGAACCCATCGAGCCCTCGGAACATCACGAAGCTCCACCGTGGACCCCTGAGTAACACACCCTTCTTTGGTAAACGCCCTATTCGGATCCTATTGGGATCTTTGGCAGGTGTGAAGGGGCTTATTGTTCGTTCACAGAGGCCTCAAAAGCATTCCCGAGAGAGATGCGGACAAACCTCTTCCCACCTTGAATAGGGTTCCGGGGTCGGTTATGGTGGAAATATGGATAGCTAAATCTAAATTATATAAGTAACTCGCTGCCTAGGCCTACTTATATATATATATACATAAATAGAGAGAGAGAGAGAGAAAGAGAGAGGGAGACTCATTATGACTATGAGGGAGATCACTACAACTTACTCCGTCCGCCATGTTGAACCCTAAATGCCCCTGAACCCTGAACCCTCCCGAAACCCGAATCCCTCCACTCCAAATGAACGCTGTCCTGGCTCTGAGACTTCGCGAAGCGCGCGGCTGCGGCGGCTTTCTGGCGTTCGGCGAATTCTGGCAGGAGGGAGTCGGATTGGGTTTTAGGGTTTTAGCGTAGAGGGTTTCGGGTTTAGGGGTTTAGGGTTTAGGGCTGAGGGTTTAGGTTTTCGGGTTGAGGGT